CAAACCTGTTTATGTTATGCATTAACACTGAATGGGTCAGTTGTGGCATTAAATGTGTTTTCTAATGGAGCATGTCAACTATTTTTCAATTATTTATCATATAAAGGAATACAAATTAACTTAAATTCGACATTATATTTACTACAACCATTACCAACAGATCAATGTTGTAAAAATATTTCATGGGTATTAAATAAAATTGAAAATTCATTAACGAGTTCCGTCGATGTAGCAGGACCATTGAATTTATATATTGATGACCAGGATAATCTAGTTACTGCTGAATATTATGGAAGGCTGATTAAGTTGAATCGCTATAATTTAACGGTATTAAATAGAATTACTTTACTGGATGGAGTTGGTGCTATAAGTTATAATGAAGGCTATTATTATATTGGCTCAGGAATACCGGGAACGACAACAGCTTATCTATCGATTTATGATAGTCATACTATGGCACTTATAGTGAATATAACCGGTCCCACCAGTTATTTTGGACCAATAAGAGAATGTCGTTTTATAAATAATAATAGTATAATGATTGCTTTATCACAAGCACAATACAGTTATTCTTTACTATTATTTTATCAAATTAATTCACCGACAAATTATACATTAATTAGACAATTGATGGCACCAACATGGGCTGTTTATTGTCTATATAAAGTGAATGATACGTTTTTCTATTTGACCATGTTTTATACAAATAGTTTAATTTATACTGTTCAATATAATTCATTTACACAAAATTGGACAATAACACAATTTGTTACTTTAACTGTACAACCAACAACACCGGCAAGTGTTTTGATTGATCCATGTAATCGAATATGGGTTGCAGATTATTATGGTGGTATTCGAATTTATGATCAACAAGGTCAATACTTAACAACATGGAATACAATTGTACAAACACCTCTATATATGTTAATGTTAGATAATTACGAACTATATATTGCTGATGATGGAAATAATCGGATATTAAGATTTGTACCCAATATACAGTGTATCGTATAGGAAGTATACGATTTTATTCGCCCTCAAACGAATCGCTCCGTTTCAGTTTTACTGAAGTGTCATTCGCCTATGAGCTATTAGTCGTAGAAATTGTGTATATATAACTGGTTGAGCAGAGAAAATGATGCCATGTTGCAAAATATTTTCTCAAGTTAAACTTGATCAGAAAACTTCTTTTTTATGTCAGAAAGATAGAGAATTGTATCTATATTTTATTCATATGTTGTTTTATAAATAAGCATGTTCCGTTCTTTTGCAACAGTAAAAATATTCGAAGCCACGAAAATCTCAACTGTTCAACTGCAAAAGCAGAAAAAATCGAAATGCAATTTTTTTCCCGTTGAGTATTTTCCAAACCTTTTGGTTCAAGGCCTGCAAGACGCAGAATTTTTCGGAGTATCTAGCTGTGTGTTGTTTCTTATATGTTTGTAAAATGGAAAACAGCAAAAAGGACCGACGAGGCGGTATCTATTTTGGAGTCTTCCTCAAAATCTTGACTTATAAAAGTTCTTGTTTCTATATCAAAAGATACAGAATTTCAGGCTCAAGAAAACGCACTTCTTTCTATAGATTCTGGTAAGGGATGACAGAGTTGAGATTACTTCCTTTGGAGAAATGGCACCAAACACAAATAATGACCCAATTGTTGTAGCCTGTTTTTGCAACTCTAAAACTTTGTCGAAAAATATGATTTTGTGTCCCAGGAATTTAGAATTTATTGTAGTTTTTAGTACCGTGTTTGAATCGCGTGAGCAAAACTTCTATGAAGGTACAAATCGTTTTTTTTTCAGCGAAGTGATGCTCAATTGAGACTTCCGAGATATTGAGTGCGATGAAGGTACATCTCAATCTAAACACAGCTCTGAAAATGCGAAAAAGTGTTAGTGGACAGAAAATACTTGAAATACTTGAAAACAAGATAATTCATGACCTTATGGTAAACTGTTCTTGTGCAAACTACGCCTTTCTACACTGTAGTTCATACAAAAAAAATATCGCAGACGAGAAAAAATAAGAGAGAATAATGCATTAGAAAAAAAGTGATCAAAGTAAGAAAAAAATATAATGGTGTTTAGTATAAAAAATGTACGTATATAACATTCAAATGCATAGGAGTATTGGTCTGACAATGTTCATGAAACAGTAGTCCTGAACTGTCTTGAAGTGAAGTTAAAACTGTTAAACCATTTATCACAATGCACATAAAAGACACGATTATACAGATGTTCTCCTTTAATTTCCTACTACGATTAAAATATATTGATCGAACGAGAATCAAGGGCAACAAAAGCAACTTTTGTTCCTCATCTTACGGGAAAATGTTTATCACAGAGTTCAAGCTCATTTCAAATTGTATTCAAATTATCGTTGATCAATAGAGACAACTGAAGGAAATTAAAATAGAATTATGATACAGTAGAAAAAGTCTAAATATCGAAGCACTTCGCCAAAGCAGTAAAAGAAATATGATTAATCGTCTAGATTTAATTAAGGGTCAAAATAATTCTCAAAGTTAAATAACACCAAAAGGAAACGTAATAATAAATGAAAAAAACACCTTTTTTAGAATTATAAAATAAAAATATGATGATTGCACTGCGATATAAAAGAAAAAAGCACCGAATAAAACTGTAGAAAATGTCTGTAGTCCTAACTATCCACTCTCACTTCACACCATACCGCCCGTTCCTTCAAGTGTAGCAAGAAATTTTGCCACATGATATTTATCATTGGCTTGTTTTGCTACTTCAATTAAATCTAATAATGTTTTAATACCAATGAATACTCTAGAAAAAAAGTAACTAATGTCTAAAAATCATCTTATAATTTTTATTCTTCAAATAATTTCAGTCTTACTTACTTTTTATCCGTAAGACGTTTTTTTAAATGTTTCATTTTCCTCATTAATAAATGAATGATCAATTGAAGTACACGTTTTCCATCTGTAAAAAAACAATTCATTTGTAGTAATCCGATATAATCCTTCGTAATAGGACGTTGCACTTACTCAACATTGTTTGAGCTGTACAAAATTTTAAATATGGAAATTTTGATAATAATTCTATATGAGCGGGTAATTCCGTTTTACCACTGTCTGACGGACCTATAAAATATAAGAACATATGTAAACAGTATTATTAAACTCTAAGAATAAGTGTATTCAAAGAGACCCAATTACACGACGCCCTCGTGATTACAATTTTGATGACCCAACAGAATGTGAATACCATTAAAGTAAGATTTAAAAACATACTATCGATTTTTGAACGATGAAAAAGTGTTTAAATCCTCACATTTATTAAACGTGTTATTAAAAACATCAGATCATCAATTAAGTACAGAATATGGTGTTACTACACTGTAATTTGGAATTATTTTCTACTTTATATAAAGTAGAAAATCGATAAGGAATTTCTAAGAAAACAAATCAGTGATCTTTTTGTTGCTTCTTTCACATCTATTACAGCCTACATTGCAACAAGTTGTCCTGTAACAGATCTCTGCTCATTTTAGTATTTAACATCGGAAATGTTAGTAGATTCGAAAAGTTCTCTCAGTTTTTGCAAATCAGCATATTCTTGAGAAGTATTGTTGCTGTATGACACCTGGAGATCACACAGAGGTACTGAAAAGGTTCTTGGATTGCCTGGTTAAGACAAAGTCGAGTTCCACCGCAGCTTTCTGAAGGTCGCAAAGCGATTCACTCTTGTTAATATTTCCCATTTTTATGTCTGAATTTAGCATCTTCCAAGTAGTTGGTTCTATTAACTCAAAGACATGATCCTAACAATTCACATTTATTTTATTATTTTTTAAATAAAATAACAGTCGTTCAACACGTGATCGATGTCGAATTTGATTTTCATTAGTAAAAGATCCATATTGTCATCCAATAAGCTGAAATAATACACCCCACTCATCTTCGAAGTTCAAAAGCTTTTAATAATGGTGAAAAAGTTTATCTTCAGCCATTTTCACTTTGCAAGTCTCTAATTATCGGCATTCTCACACAAATTGTTCTTCCTCATCATCTAGAAAGTTGCTGAGGATTTTCTAGGAAGTAGAAAATAATCCGACTTTCTGATTTTCGAGAAGTCCATATAAAATCCCTGAGGATTTTCTAGACGGAAATTCGTGAGGATTTTCTATAAATAATTCCCCACAATGTAGAAAATCGATGTCGATTTTCCATATTATTGAAAATTCGATTTTCTATAATCTGGAAAATCCGTGAAAATTTTATGTATGGACTTTTTGAAAATCACCGAGCATTTTCTATAAATAATTCCCGACTTTACAGTGTAGTCTAAAAGAATTGACTGATTTTACGACAATAAGTGCACCCCATTCAAACAGGAAATTTACTGATTTGAAGGAGCAATACCAAATGTGCAATATGGATAACAAAAGATCAAATAATAACAATAATGGTGGTGAAAAGTTTTTTACAGAACAACAACTAGCTAACAATACTCAAGGTTATTTATATTTTTATTGGTTAATGGTATTAAAAATGAGAAGTGAAGCAGTGTACGAACCAGCCACGTCAATTCGGAAAGGGCATATTCATAATAACCGTGCTTTAGATCATGTCTCCTTAGAGGATGAGGCGATGTTACGTTGGAATGCACCACCATTACATTTAGTTCATCCATTTATCAAACAATCGATAAATAATTACTTTAGTTAACTAAGAGATAAGCAATGGTTGTTTTATAAAAAGAGCGAACAATATCAAGTATGGAAATTAATTGTATTGAAACATACGTCAAGAACAAGCAGCGAAACTACCAGAACCAGGCATGTATGATTACACAGGAACAGTAGAGCCGTCTCAAATAAGGGATATTTATATCTTTTCACTTGTCGGCAAATGTAAGCAAATGTCGATATCGACATTTGCTCACATTTGCCGACAAGTGAAAAGATATAGATATCCTTTATTTGATACGGCTCTCGTGGTTTTCAACTTAGATACTGAAGAAGCAGTAGTTTCAACAACAACAAAATCGTATTGTTTTATGTTTCCTTTTGTTTCATGCCGGGGAAATTTTATTATAATCTTTCACCGTCGGAAGAAATTTCCGAATCTCATGGATAGATTCTGCATCTCTTAGAAAAAGACACACCAGGACGCATTCTTTTCTAAAACTGATTTTTGATACGGT